GTTATAGCATTAAATTATCAGGATTACACAGAATTACTATGAACAAGGAGAAAAAGACGAGGGAGAAAAGGACAAGGATGAAAAGCATGTAAGAGCATGCGGTACCGATTTTCATAGATGTAAAATGCATTTCGTCTTATATGAGCCTGGGTTCTTGATAATTATTGAAGTTTAAGGAAAACATGTATTCATTATTCCATTAAACATAAAAAATAATTGCTACTTTTCACATGATACTGTCCTGTTACTTCGTGGCCAGCAGATTGAGTAAACCCATTCCGCATGCGGTGACAAACTCCGTTTAACCGGAAACCAGCAAATACCCAGAGGAGAGATTTCCCCGCATCGGAAATGTGACGCATTGACTACAAAAGCACCGTACGTGTAAAGTATGTTTGGAGAAGAGACATGCGTTGCCACGGATCTATTCTCATGGGTGCGAGTCAAATACCAGGGGCGTATGCTCACGAATGCTCTCATGAAGAATATCTTCCACCTACTCTCGAAAGATCTTAATCGCGTAGCACCGAATTTGGGTGCATTACGATGTCACGGTTGGAAGAAGTAGGAGTAAGAAAAAAAAAGAAAGAATTCATGAAGGTCATTATATTTTTTTCCTGCTACATCCTGTACCCTTTCCCCTTAGAATTTGTATGAGACGGTGCCTGCATGCCTATCGGAGCGTCCTTGTAAGTGACCAGGCCCTATGGACATCCCACGCATTCATTCACTCACTCACTCACTCGCTCGCTCGCTCACTCACTCACTCACGCACGCACTCACTCTCACTCTCACTCTCGAGGCACAGTCGCTTCTTGGCCGTGCCTCGTGCGGGTGTGTAAACCTTGCCTTAGGCCTTCGTGTTTCGTCGAGAGGGAAGAAGCAGAAGAAAATAGAATCATCTCATTTGCATATCCATGCCCAAGATGCCCTACTGAGCTCATTTCCTTCGCGTGGAAACTCTCACGTATGAGAGCCGACAGAATTTCTTCTTCTCCTCCGGGTGAGTCGTTTTATATAGAAGTAGTGAGTATGTCTTTCAAGTACAAAGTTCGAGTGAAGTGGAGAGCTTTCATATAAGAGTCAGAATGTGATTTAATTGAAATCAGTGAGTTTTATGGGAGGGATAAAAAGCGTCAGAATTCATGGGTAAGTACCAAACCACGAAAAAGACATCGATGTTCTAAAGATTCCAGTTGATAGAAGGCCGGTTTTCGATGGCGTGATGTCTCGTGTTGCGTTATTTCTCATTAAGGCTTCTTTTTTTTTCGTTGCCTGAGTCCACTTTTCTGGGAAGAAGGCATGACGGAACTCCCCATGCTGGTTATCTGAGCGTCGAAGTCGCCGTAGGTTGAGGATATAAAAACAAGCTGGGCCCGTCTTTTAAAATTATTCTCCCTTACAATAGGTTACATGGACTGTGATGTAAGACGGAAGAACGTTGCGAAAACGTAGACACGTACCCTGAGAACACAAAGGGAAATATCTCCTGTTTCCTTATGTATGATGTCGGTGAATCACTTGACAAACCGCTCTTGGGTGGAGCATATGCACACGAAACACCCACAACCCCTGCACGCCCAAAATTGGTTAAGGGTTCACTTGTCCTCCCGGTGCTTCTATCCATTTCATACCGGCATGCGTGTCGACCTTTTCGATTTAAAGTTCACGACTGAAGCTGTCAGAATGATCTATGAAGGGACGTAGTGATGTAACAACCCAACTCCTTACTCCTTCCCCGTTCTTGTCAGAGAGGATGTTAAACACGCTCTTCATTCTCGTAGGCGATGTTGCCATACTTACGGTATTGCATTTAATTCTACCGGCAAGAGCTTTCTTCCTCCCTCATCACATTCAGTGCTGGAAACGTAGCAGTAGCATCTCCAGGCCCTTATGATCTTGATGACCTCGTGCCGTCTAGCCATTTCTCCTGCCTACGCGTGATCGAGACACCAAGAACCTGCTTCTAAAACGGTTCATAACGGTTTTCTGCTCTCGTACGAGGAAGACGGAGTGAAAAGAATTGGATGTCGCGGTAATGGAATCTACCTCTGATATAATCACGACATGAGGTCATCGCACCATAATGGAACCGGGGACAATGGAAGTGAGGCTTCCTGTACATTTCTATTACTGGAGGCAGGAAGGCCTCATAATATGGGAGAAAGAACTTGGAGAGCATGCACATACCGTGAAAATGCCTCGAGCCCGGCGTCAATGTGGGGCAGGGGAAAAGTTTCACTTTCTAATCCTCTTCCACTCTGCCAAAAAAAAATTATCACGTTGCTCTACAGAACTTGAGCTTCGTTAGCAATCCTTCCTATCTGCAACTTGCGGTAATTACTGTGCAAAATTGAGCAGAAACACGCTTCTAGTGGGCAGCTCTTTTCACTTCGGATGATTTTCTTGATGGAACAAAAAAAAAAAAACGGCTGGGCGCCACGCCTAACAGTGGGAAAAAGGAGGCTAAAAAGTCACACGAGACATGTGGACGAAAGATGAGGAAGGTCCAGATTGTCTCGCGCATTCTCCACGATGACCTGACAGGCATCATACAGGTAACGTGATACGAGATGGCTTCCGGAGCACGGGGTCATTTCGCATTTTTCCACGCTCCCTTTCATCACCTGGGAAGGGAAGAAGTGGAATGAATGAGTCTTGCGTCAGGTCTCCTTAGTCACGTTTTCCTCCAAACTCTCCTTTTCCATGCAATCTCGTCTAAAGTATGATTGACAAGCTTCCGCATAGAAAGGGACATATCCCGACCGGGCCAGGGATAAGTAGGACGTCCGTGTGGAACCCATTAAATTTACAGCCGTTCGCGCGTGCTAGAACTGCTTAGCTGGCGGATTACTAGAACTCCTTCGGCGAAAATCTGCTGTGATTTTTAATTTCCTCCTTTCGTTCACGTCGATTTCCACTTCACTGTCCCAAGTCCGAGATATGTATCGACACGTAATGATGGTGTGAAGATGGGACGAAATGGCTGCCGGAGGGAGTTCAAAGGGTCAGGGTCGTCGAAAGTCTCCCCCTTATCTTTTTCTCTTTCTTCCATCGTCTTGCTTAACTTCTCTGGAATGCTCCTTCGTTCCCCCCCACCCTCTTACATCAAAGAGTCATTTATTTCTCGAAAACTCTTTCGAAGTCCACATCGCCGTTCGCTCACTCGACTGGCGCCAGAATGGAAATCTCTGATTCACCGTCTTCTTCGAAAGGGAGAAGCGAGTAATTATCGTGACGCGGTTCCTCGGTAATGGACATCATAAAGTAAACGCGTGACCAGATACGCCCTGAACGAGTTCTTTTCTCTACCACGCTTTGTTTTCTCATCAATTCCATCTTCAGGCATGATTGTGAAGATGAAGTTTTCTTTTCAGCCTTTCCATGAGATGCTGTGGACGCTGGCGCTCCTTCTCGTCCTCCCCTGCCATGACCTGACCAGGGCCCAACGAGGCCCTCATCTCGGCTGCAACTGCATGGACTACTGGAAATGTTTCATGAGGTCTCTTCATCTGATAGAACCAAATATCGTATTTTACAGTCGACGGCACGAGAGAGATGACCGACGGGAGAAAAAACTACCGGCGGTTGAGCGAAAGAAGTGATAAAAATTCTGCCCGAAGGTCCACAGGGGCTTGTAGATGATAATCTAAGGTCGACGGAGAAAGTTTCAAATATGATATGTATCTTTGTAATGAAATTGCGAATTCTGCCCTACTAAATCAATGCATACATTCTGCTGACTTAAGAGAAAAATATTTTTCTTTAATTCCAGAAAATATAGTTATTTTCGTCCAGAACCAGACTTCCAACAGTGCGGTGTTCATCGAGAATACGCAGTTGACAGGAGAGATCGTATCAGCGACAGTTTCAATTTATGAAGGGGCCTAATGCAAGCTCCTTTCTTTCCTTCGCAACCTCTCCTCTGTAGACACTCGGGACATTAGCTAATCTAGATGATTAATTAATGTCCGGAGCCTCCAGTGCCTCATCCAGACTAGTTAACGATCAATAAGGTGAAAAGGTGCTGGTATCGCTTAAGCTCATTGCAATTGAGATAAGGATTTCCGGTAGAAAAGCCAAGACGATGGGGATAGACATCTCCAGGACATGGATTACGGAGTGTTTCGTGCGATCGTATCATGCCTAAGGGAGAAAGCGGATGAGCCCCTCGAGCCGCGACCACTATTTTCTTCCAATGAAGTCAGACTTTTTTTTTAACTTGGAGAGATGAAACAATCCTTTCACAGTTCTTCACGCAAGCAACCGCCCAATTCGTTTTTCAGTCGCAATATAAAAGAGAAATATCCGGATTTCGAGACATGTTGCCCCGGGAACTCGCACGTTTCCTGCTATTTCCCCTCGATTACTGTCATTGACTTCCCACTTTTCCGAAATCCCGAGGAATAAGAGCCTAAATAGAGATGAGAGGGATCACTCGATCCTGCGCTGTAATTTTCTAGATGCCATAGGGCACATACCCACTGTGTTTCCAGGGGTTGAGGCGTTAAAAGATAACCGGCAACGGGCGAGGATTTTCGAGTTTTCGTTCTCGAATGGCGACAGCATATAAAACCTATGAAGACTATTGTCTTTGTCATAAGTATACAGGAGAGTTTAGGTTAAGAGCCCCGCATAGAACTTTTAAAAGGAGCATGCAGGAAGCTTTACTCGAAAATAAAGTCGATCGTCCACCCTATTCCGTGAAGATAGAGCGCTGCAGAGTCTTCCTATCATTACCCTCCTCGTTCAAATACAGTGATGACTTTTTCGAACCTCGAACGTTTGTCCGTTTGTCAACAGCGATAGAGAATGCAAATTCAAAACCAAATTTGCTTCGGATTCCGAGTCCCACTTGAGAAAATTATTTGTTCTATCCGGGGGATGAGTTCCATGCAGTTCTGCTTGGCAACCTCTCGATCTCGTTTTTTAATGGCAGAAAGCCAGAGGCGGCTCGTGATCTGTAGCAGAAGTAGCTAGTCATTTGAGACAGTGGCGCAATGAAAATAATTCAAGAACAAAACAAGAGCCGCACAGAGGAATCACGATGCGGATTATTCAATGTGGCCTTGCAGATCGATGATGGCATCCATGCGAGGAACGATGGAAACGACTTCGTAGAACACCTCTTGAGGAATGCGTGCGCATCCCGCTGTTTCATGGACATCACCCGATCTCAACCCATGTGAGTATTGATCGTGGGACTCGTTGAAGATGCGCGTGGACCGCGATAGTCAGACGATGCCTCCAGTTCCGAAGACTGCAAAACGGCGGATTGTGCACGCAAATTCTCGTTGCCAATCATTAGACCTTGGATGTCATCATCGACCAACACAGAGGCCATATTGAGCCATTCATGTAATGATATCCTCTCTAGACTTGTTTGCTTCTGCATTTTTTCACCATTCCACCATGCTATCCATTGTATGTTGTGCCTGTCCCGCGAATTACGCGTCTCCGCTTCCCACGTTTTGCTACATACATTGCTCCGAATACTGATGGGGTCTTAATGACCACTTTCCATTTCGCTATCATTAATCTTCGCTAAAGAGTACCAAGAAGACGTTGATGAAAGGACTTACCTTTTCGCGTTGCTATATTAACGAAAATGAATAGAGAACTCGGAATGACCACTGTCATGGGACCATGCACCAACTTTGATTTAAGTTGGAAAGTATTGAAATGGCTCAGCAGGTAGAAAACTCGCCAAGTAATGGAGTGCGCGAGGACGGAAGGGGCTTCATTCATGCCAGCTGACATTTCATGCTAACCCGCTCCAGTTCACTTGTTGCGCCATTATTGAGCGCTCAGCTGTGAAGCAATTTTGAGACGATGACATCCAAGGCATTTTCACGAAGTTAACCAGTTTGGCCGAGGCATATATTCCTGAACACGGAGGGCATCTTTAATGTTGAGTCTGCGGCGTTAATCCAATGGAAGTGATAGTTCCAGCGGGGAAGGACGCTATCTTTTCCTAAAGCATCGGCCTACGACCTCAAAATTTCGGTCGATTTTCATCCACACTATTACCAGTATTTTAACAAATTTTACCAAAATAGCTCAACAGCTTTCATTTAGCTTTTTTGCGATAACTACAGGGATAGGAGAGATAGGGCAGTCCACCCCCCCCCCCCCTCCCTCTCCAGCTTACCAAACTCAGTACTGTATGCTATTTAAAGAATCAGTGACCACAAGCCCAGCAACTCTTCTGTCCGGCATTGCATGTGACATTCGTACGACTAGTTTTGGTTACATGGCAACAACGTCGCCAAAATAACCCTCATTCAGGGATTGACCGACTTTCAACGTATGAATTCCAAGTCATTACCTTCCATTAACTCCATGCTTGCCGTATCCCCAGACATTACCCCTCAAATTGATGTTAATCTGGTCGTTGCACAAAATACGCATGCAAAGCTTTTGGATAATAAACTGATAATACTGTCTTCGTCTTAATCAGTTTCGAGGCCTTCTTATAAAATACTTTATTGTCGAAATTTGCTCCCTTGTTTAAAATAATCCCTCATTCGACATCGCTTCCAAACGTCCAAACTTTGAATTCCCGTAAGAACGAACTAGGTTGTTTCACCCCTGTTTATCTGCTCTCGTGCCGTTCCCATTCTATGTATGCTTATGTAGTCTAAGGCCACGCAATTGTCTCGATTATTACTTATAAGCACTGGAAATCCAATGCATTTGGCTAATCTGCAAATAACGCTTCATTCACACAACTATTGCAACTCGAAACAGTGAAATATTCCTGAAATTCAAGAAATATTACATTTTTGCAGATATAATGGTATAAAAATTGCAGTACTTCGTTTTGGATGCATACACACGTGACTGACTAGCTTCCTTTCCTCGGCTGTAATTCCTCGAAACTCTTTATTCATTCTCAAAGGACATCAATCCCAGAAGTAATAGGCTACATGTATTGCTTCATTGTCTTAATGTTCACATTTCAAGCATTCCACCATACAACTCTGAGATCAAGCAACAAAATAAAATATATCACAGACATGAGGTTCGAGAAGCGCGAAAAGTTAAAGTTCGAATGCAACGAGAAAAGTGACTAAGACTACCATATACGTACGATGTCGAATCACTTTGCACGATATTGGTGCCCGTTTCCCCCAGTGGGGGTCAGGTATACAGCTATTGTGGGTTGTCGGATCGAGAGGTGTGCTGCTTCGTTCCCCTGAACGCCCAACCCGTGGGACTCGTGCCTGAGATCGCGGAAGAAGACCGAGGAAAAGACTGCGGGAAGAAGGGATCCGACAATAGCATCGACGGAGAAGCAGCCCTCGCCGAATGGCCTTGGCATGTAAGCCCACTCCATCCGATGACATAGCTCCCGATCTGGTGTCCTTCATTCTGCATGGTACTTCTAATGAGGGGCGTTCGCCACGGTGCTTCGTTTTCACGTGTCAATTGATTAATCTTTTACAATGTTGGGACATGAATGGAGTCCAGCATGTTTTCCCACAGGTTCACCTTGGCAAAATCATAACGACCCGTTCGTCAAGAAACTTCCGTATTAGACCTTTTTGCATGTTACCTTTTGACAAACCGTGCAAATATGCACTACAGCATCTCGACGAGGTCGATGGACGATTAATGTCCGTTGGAGTTAGTCAGTATTCTGCCGTTCACAGAGAGGCAGGAATTCAACAAATTTTAATTGTGCCGACAGGCAGCAGTTCTGGAGAAACCTCAAGACCTGTACGTGTGTGGGGGATCCTTGTTGCACGCGCGATGGGTCCTCACTGCCGCCCACTGCGTCGATGACTAGTCTGTTTCATCCCTTCTTATGCTTTTCAGTCCATGAAAGACCCGAATTGTCCACTTGAGGAACGAGAGTTTTCCTTCTCGAGTGCAGCCTCCCGGTGATCCAAAGGGTCCATGAGGTGTTGAAAGTGCGATTGGGAGAATACGACGTGAGCACGACGTCGGAACCCCTGGGACACGAGGAATTCAACGTCGTTCGGATCGTCATTCATCCAGGTTTTGACAATGCCACTTTGGTTCACGATATTGCCTTGCTTCAACTGGCTAGACCGGCCCAGAGACGAGCCAATATCGACGCCGTCTGCATGCCAAAGCCCAACCAAGCCAGCAATGCCACCGGGCAACCGTGTTATGTCACCGGCTGGGGACGACTCACCGAAGGTCAGTCTGCAAATTCTTTTATCGTGAATGAACTCCTTGTCTTGGAGCTTAAACTGTCCTATTTCGTGCCGCCGTGTAGCAGATCGACTCTATGGTGTAGCCGTTCGAGAATTCGCAGGCGATAAAAGTAATTCACTCGAATGAAAAGGTTCCAATATAGTAGTCTCGGAACATTTCTATTTAGCAAAAGAACTCCCTTTGCCTGCTCGAGCTGGTATATTCCCTTATTTTTCCATCATTAATCGTTATCCGATTCCATGATGACCACAAATTGCTTTTTACTTGAAGGCAAGATAAAAGCATGTTTTTAGTGACATGCAATTTTTCGTCATCATGGCACGGATTAAGAAGAAATTAGAGAGGGATATGCTCCAACTGGAGCAAGCACAGAGAGCGAGGAGTTTTCTTGAATAGGAAACTCATTCTCTTTCCCGAGAAAGCAGCTCTTTAAAGACGTCATTGGATGAAATGTGATTTGGAACGGCTGTGGTTAATTGCGTCCTCTTCCAACCGTTGCACTTAAATTAACCCAATCGTATCTGATTAAGAATGAGTGCTTCTGTGAAAAAGCAGGAAGATGAGGGGGATATGGAGACGTAAGCGCAAACCGTATCTTCCTGTACAGGGACAACAGGTTTTTGAAACTGGAATGGCAACACCGAGGTGAGCTCATAAGGATGAGCTTCTTTGAAAGAGTTGCACGATGACGGATTGCGTCATGAACTCGATCACGACGGACTTCCCCTGAATTTTATGAGTCTCGTATTCTTTTAGGAATTGTTCACCGATTAACAGATGATCTACTCGTGCACTATAGATACGGATCACAGCCTGGTGTTGAAGGAGATCAAAGTACCTATGTGGAACCACGTGGCTTGTGAGCAAGCCTTGAGACTTCAATTCGGTCCTACCTACAGTCTCCCCGACACAGTCATCTGCGCTGGCGCAGAGGGACGGGACGCCTGCGATGTTAGTTCTTTCCATCCGTCTCTCTTCTTTTCTCCGCATTCATTTTGAGATCCTAAATCTCGAGTCCTCGATATTAAAACGGAGAGGTTTTTGCCATCACGTGCATGGTATGTCGTCAAACGTCCATTCGGGTTTCCCATAGGTCGTCACCGTCACGCAGGGGTGACAATGAGTCGGGTCACGCACGCTGCGGCAAATAGCTTGCGAAAACGATGAGAAATGTGGCCGTGAAATGGATTAAATGAATGAGGATAGAGAGTGAAAGACCTGAGACCGAAATGTCGTGAGGAAAGAGAGATACAATCAACAAACGGAGAGGATCCGGTTGAACAAACACGCAAAGATTAACTTAACCTTGAACATCCTGTGTTCTCCACTTCCTGGATACACCCCAATCGGCCACGAATAGTTAAGGCTGTCTCTAGGAGCAGAAAAAAAGTAGCACAAGCACGTACGGTGCCAGTCGCTGTGCCAGTTTTATAAATGCGTGTGAGTACTTGAAATAATAATTTTTCACGTGTTGCGAAGGATGCAGGAGGGCACTAAAGAAAGAGGTTCCCATCTCACACTTTCTAAGACGTCACGCTGACTGTTTCACAAAATGACTACTTCGGGATGAACAGAAGGTAACCAGACTTTGACGAATGGCTATGTCGTCCTGGTTCGAGGCATTCGCAACCCTTGCCTATGGATGGAAGAATGCGTTCATATCGTTGAAATTCCAACAGACACTATTTAAAAATACACCATAGCTTTTTCTACGTTTCAAGGAGCTCATTATCTTAGTTCTTCTCAATATTACTAACAACTAAATTTTTATTAATTATTTCCTTGATTATTTTAAAATTATAAGTAATTCCTTCACGGCGAAGCCGTTGTCATTGGAAAGGCTACGCATTCAAAATGTTTCTTGACGGCTCACTAAGGCGCATGATTTAGAAATTGAAGTCTTAGGCATGACAGGAACTGCATCCGCGTGGTTGGGACTTCCGAATGAAACCCGGGTGAGAGCCAATTGTTTTGATTGACGGCTCATAGAGTGCCAGTGGAACCGAAAATTTTTTTCGCGGGTTCGGGAACAAAAGCCTGCTATACAAATATTTAAATTCTCTACCATTCCTTCCCTTTCGTCATAGAAGTTGAGAATATTCATATTATGAGTCAAGGCGAGTCGAATTCCAACTGACGCAACAATCAGAGGACAACGTGCAGCATGTAGTGTAGTAATAGACATCAAGTAGGAAAAAGTTACATAATGGATATTGTAAAGATAACAACAGGTTCAAGCAGCACTTGAAGCTGGAGGACTTTAGTGGAGGCTGATTATCTTCAAGTCAATGGAGTTGGTCGTAGCCATTCACCGTCTGAAATTCAAACGATCCAGATGCAGTGTATTTATGAATGTACAAAACCCTCAAATAGATTAATGACATGCATTTTAAATGAGGATCTGGTGGGTGTCTTAGGGTGATGGAGGAGGGCCACTGGTGTGCGAGAAGGAGGGGCATTGGTATCAAATGGGGATCGTGTCCTTCGGAATCGGGTGCGGCCGACGGAACATCCCCGGTGTCTACACTCGGGTTCACTCCTACCACAATTGGATACAAGATGTCCTTCGAAACTTCCCTCCCTCTTGATCAATGAGAGAGGAAGAAGTCGGACGCTCTTTCCCTTTCCTGTATCCTCTCTCTCTCTCTCTCTCTGTCTTACTCGTTTCCATTCACCTCGTGGCATGAGAAATGGATGACGAACCGCAAGGCTTTCACTATCTGCAAGAAGAAAGAAACATCTGTTGGTCAAAATGGAATGATACACTCCTCGCCCATAAGTCACCTACGTCTCTTCAGACAACTGCCTCACATCGAAAGAAGCTGAAAAAAAAGCTACTTGAAGAAGGAGGAACAAAAAGGAATCATTGTGATACGTGAATGCGCTCCCCGTCTGTCGTCCTTGTTGGTGTATTATCACGTAGGTTTCCGACTCGGAAAGATACAAAAATAAAGTTCGTGTTTTGTATCAGACTATGTATGCTGTGAGTGGTGAGTCGATCAAGAATCATGGTTAAGGTCCCTACGACTCCATGCAAAAATTACCTATGTGGGCCATGGATCCGCTTACTTTCCCAGCGGGACCATTTCTCATCTGTAATGAAGCGTAGCCCTTGTCGACTTTGGACGAGGTGAAATGACAGGAGAAATAATTGAGGACTTAACTGGTCTTTCCTTGTCGATGAAGTCATTTATTATCACCCCTGCTCCCTTTCCCTTGATTTGCTTTCTTTTTCACCACGGAATATCAGTGAAGATTGGAACAAAATGGGCATCGGCGAGGATTCAGGAAGTAGCAGTGGTATTTTCAGATGCAAGCCGCATCTAGGAGATACGGGTGCAGTACTCTTTAAAAATCACTTAAGCTAGTGATAGGCCAAGACAATCAGTGAGCTGCCCCAAAGGCCTCTTTCAGACCGCACTCGGGCGTCCTTGCCTGAGGGACCGTAATGTCTACAGTAATGTGCCTGCGCTAAGTACCTATTTTTCTGTCCTCCTTATGCAGCTTCTTACGCCAGTTGCCGTACGCATCTGCCGCATGTCCTTCCCTTAAAAAAAAAGAAGCCATTCAGATGCAGTCACAAGGTCATTCCAGCGTACGTGGGGTGCTCAAGTCACTATGAGACAGTCACGATGCTGGCTTGTTTCAGCTGGGTAATTCAGTGGATTATATTCAACAGGTCAACCGTGGACCTTTTCTGTATGAACCAAGTTTCATGCTTTTCCTTTGCTTCCCTCAATTTTAGAACCCTTCTGAAAAGTTATGATCGTCTCGGGACCCTTTCAAGTTCTCTAGAATGTTGGTTCTTGTTTTATTCAACTGCCAATTTCAATCTGGGGAGCGCGAAGGGGGAAGGACGTAAATACCATGAGCATGCAATCATAGATTTTCAGTCTCTGACAGAATTCAAAGCAAAAAGCAGTAGCATGTTTTGATCGTGTCTCTCCCGCAAAGTCGTCTCATTAAAGCGGACGAAGTTAACATGGTTCGCACCGGAAAAACCATTTTCAAAGGGTCCTATTTGAGAAAAGAAAGGGAAAAGCATGTAGCACGACTGTACAGGGTACAGGGTCTGATCCTGACACCGAAGCATAATCTACGGCATGATAGTCGTATTCATTCTAGCAGTCTCCTAATTCCAAGGATTTCGAAAATGCTGTCTTGTTAACTGCTTGACCGCCATGAATGGCGGTGACCGCCAAGAATGCCTGCATGAACGTAGCCGTGCCTCAAGTCGCTCGCCTGGGAATTCTTCATTTCTTATTGTATTTCTGTTTAGAAGATAAAGGGAGGTAGAGCTGTTCATTGCACATTTACACTGGTTTTTGGCTTAAAAAAAGGACAAGTGGTTTGTAAATTCATTTCCAAAGCTTGACAGTTCAAGAGTAAAGAACATATAAGTTGATGGATCAAAAACTCTACTTTACTTCTTCTGTCGCCAGTTTGCAGTTTCCTGGGAATATCTCCATACGGAACACCGTATGGAGAGATTCCCAGGTTTTTCCCCCAAGGTTTTTCTTGCGAGATATAACATTTACAGCTAGGACTATATTTTTAGACAATGCACTGAAGAAGATACACAAGGACAGAAGCTCGTTGAGTCTCCACCACTTAAATCCTTCTTTTTTTGCGTTGCCGGTTTGGTGGGGATGGGGAATTCCCCACCTAGTCCGGTGTGGGCTCGCTCCGCCATGAAAAAACTACAGAGAGTGATTCGAATTCGTTCTTGTTTTCAACTCCGTCATTCAAAATAATTCATCTCGGGTTCTTCACGGAACATCCTAGCGAAGTATTAAAACTGCAGGGCTATCCAATATATACACATACACTCAACAGAATACAGGATGAAGCATAATGAACACCAGACTACACTTTCATGGCACTCAGCAGTGACCACTATAGGAAATGACAGAGGAAATCAGCGAACTTAACACGTTGACCGCCACGGAAATGCTGGCCTATTGATTTTCCCATTCAGTGATACGCACTAGTGTTCCTCGTGGCGGTTAACCTGTTAAATCTGGAGTCCATTAGACTTAACAGAGAAGGCCTAACACAGGATGTATTTCTGTGTATCCTGTGTTTCTGCTCCAAGTTGACTGACACTTCAGTCCAGTGTTTAAAAAAATATATAACGCAACTTCAGATGACAAACTGAACGAAGTATAACAATGTGAACTTCCTCCTCATATTGCTCCGTGGTCAGGGCAAGATGACGAAATATGCGGATGTTACGTGTAAACTAAACAGGCACATTTTGCTACATGCCGATAATTTGTCAGAGACAATAACAATATTTTGAGTTCGTCATCTTGTACACTTCGCCTACTTACCATTTACCACTTCCATTGATGAGTTCTATCAGTTTTTTCATATTTACATTAAAACATAATTAGAATTACATAACTAAAAACTTATATACAGGGTGAAATACTTATATACAGAGAAACTTCCGCACTTTCATGATTAATATCTTAGGAACGGTAGAGCATAGAGAGCTAAAATTGCACATGGGTGTTACGAGGAACAAAAGCTCATAGGTGCCATAGTTATCATCCGTTGTAATCAAGGGTGCCAATCTGACTTAATATCTCATTAATCACCGCAACCGTTCAATATGTGCTCCTTCATTGTCCAGAATGCTTAGGAAACGGGCGACAACGAATATAACAGCAGCAACGCGCATCTTATCTGGGATGCTGCTCACTTCATGAATAATTGCGTCCTTGGGTGTAGTAAAATTTCACAAGTTCTGCAAGTCTGCAGACTTATGAGCTTCATGTTGGTTGACTGAACTGAACTGCAACCCACAGTCCTATTGTCCAAAATGAGCTTTAGTGTGTCTCTTTTGCGTCACCTAGTACATTTCCGATCGAATTTGGTTATATCACTGTCACTATCTCAGAGCTTCTTTATCAAGTTCGTCCAATTGCGCAATGGAACTGGAAATGCAGCATAAAAAATATCCATCTGGAATGGCTGGGAATGCCACACCTGGCCGCTTCCAACTATATAAAACGGGAGATTCCGCTCTGGAACTTCCACTCGGTGTATCCTGTCTCATTGGGCCTCTCAAGGTAAGTCTGTGATAGTTTTCAAGTCATAATTTCATATTTGTCGTTTTGAAACCCGAGTGGGAAAGACAGCGCTTTTTCTCTCTCACTGATTTCAGCATGAACTCCGGTTATCTTCTCATCCTTGCCGCCTTCATTGGGCTGGCCGCATCCAGTGAGTCACTTCACGACCATGGCTGGATCGAAAGTTGAAAATCATAATTAATGCGAGTTGATTTTTTTTTTTCCGGGAAGATCGTGTGCCCTTGTCGTTTCCTAGGATCATCAACGGTGACGATGCGCGTCAAGGGGAATTCCCCTATCAAGTGTCGTTTAGGTACAGGTCCAGCAACTTCCACTTCTGCGGAGGATGGATCTACGATGAGTGGAATGTCGTGACGGCTGCCCACTGCGTCCGAAGCAGTCCCACAGACCCCGAAGACGTCAAGGTTCTGATTCCTCTCTTCTTTCGTCACCCCTTCACTTCCCCGATTGTCTTTTGTGCCGTGCGATGATTTTGTCCTTTTTTTGTTATTCGTCGAAGATCGTGGCTGGAGAGTGGAGATTCAGCACGAATGAAGGAACGGAGCAAGAGGTGTTCGTCAGAGATATCATCGTCCATCCCGACTGGGTCGAGTAAGTGACCTCGACGATTTCAAAATTTAGGGTAGGAGGGAAACAAAATGCATTCTTGGTCTTCTTGTAGCCCGAACTGGAGCAACTTGCACACCTATGACCTGGAATTCGACATCACCCTCCTTCACCTGGAATCTCCATTGGAATTCAATGATTACGTCAGTCCTGCCATCCTTCCAGAACCTTTCGACTCCACCGTTGGTCTGTTCTCCATTCATCCAATATGCTACATTTTCTTTTCAACATTGCTTAAGAACAGAGGTGTCAAACATACGGCCCTCGGGCCGGATCTGGCCCGCGGAGGTGGTGCATCTGGCCCGCCGTCTGTTTTTTTTTATATTTTCACTTGGATTGACTGTTAGCACAAATTTCAGTGAAAAATTATGGGTGCGGCCAGCAGGCATCTGCAGGGTAAGGAATGCGGCCCGCCGACCGATTTGAGCTTGACACCCCTGCTTTAGAAGGATGATTGATTTGATTGAGGAATGAGGACTGCGATTTCAGGCGAGAGGGTGGTCATCTCCGGTTGGGGCCAGACGGAGAGCGGATTCGCTCCAGATATTTTGCAGAAGTTGGAGATGACTGTCATCACGGATGAAGCTTGCGCTGATGAGTATCAAGATATTATCCCGGAGAACATGATCTGCAGCCAGGAGCCCGGTGGCACTTCCTGCTTCGTATGTCGACACAATTGTTCACTTGCTCCTCGTTCCAATTTTTTCTACTTGGAAGAGAATTCCGCTCGGTTTGAAACACCTTTTAGAGATTGGCAAGAGAAAGAAAGTGGCGTCTTCCATGTTCTCATTTTCCCATCGAAGGCGGAGCGGTTTCATAACTCTGCTTTATCATAGCTGCTCGACTTCTATTTGCCTTTTTCTTCTTCTTCAAGATATTAATCTTGGTGCATCTAAACGGAGAAGCTCTTCGGAATAGGGAGGAAGTGTTTGCAGATTTCTTTTAAAATCTGATACAGGGTGATTCTGGTGGCCCAATGACACGAATCTCCGATGGAGCCGTGGTAGGAGTGGCATCCTTCGTGGCAACTGATGGAGTCGGTGGATGTGCCAGGGGATTCCCCGATGGATACACCGAAGTCTCGCACTTCGTCGATTGGCTCGAGGAAGCCATTCAAAGACCCTAAAATAGAATAATGAACATCAATAAACAACATTCAATTGAATATATCTCTCGTTCCTGTCGCATAATCCAAATTGGTTCAGACTTCACTTCAACCTTGGGAATCGGCTTCATCTTGACTCGGTTAAAGACATGGAAGCAAAGACATGAGCGTGACCACATATCTTAACACCTTAACCCTTTCAGACCTGAATTAAGGAATTCCAATTAATATTGGAATAATATACTTTTTTGCATTTTTTAGCTCTTTGGCGCAAAATCACGAGAATCCCAAGGAATTACCACAGACACAATGAAAATGCGATGTCCATTGGAATGGACGCCAGGTCTGAAAGGGTTAAGACCTGACAATTTGAATGCACTATGAGAGTAGGACATTGTATGGCGGGTATAGGCCTGAAAGTGTTCACCATGAACACGTCAACGGCACGTCAACATATGTTCTTTCCTCACTGAGGACTCTTCAAAATCCAACAAATCGTAACCGGCCTCATTGAAAACTCCTTCTTTCCTTCTTCCATCTTGTCTGTGGGGTGAAGCCACTTATAGTCATCTCAATGCCGAGAACAATGAGAGGTCACTGCAAGCAGACGACACCTCTCGTTTCGACCATTCCGACAACGATGTGAAGCAGACTTTAATCGTCTGCTATCGATGACTTCGAGGTGGACTCAGCCTGGGACAAGGAGCACCTCGAAGTCCGTCGTCAGTCTTGTATCATTACGCAATGAACGAAGGGCACTGTCAGCGCCGCAAAAGCTTTATTTTGCTTATATTTTCGAGAAATCCTTTCTCAAATACTAGACTGAACTAAAGAGCTTCGTGAAACGTTTATTAATGTAAGGTAGCCGCAAACCGCCGCATACAGACTGCCATGTATTCAACCCTAGGAAGGGCAATGTCAATACATCAACTGGGTAAAAGAGAAAGTCATGTTGTCATGTTCACTGTCACACGAGTGTATCTGATGATGCATTGTCCTTCTTCTTTAGAGTGAATTTTGAGATCGATTCATCCTCTAGGGTCGACTTGTGTTTTTTATTTTCCAAACCGTCTCATTGTGGACTGAAAAGGCACGACCCATTTACGGACTCTACTGCATCAAAGGAAAGAGTGAGGAACGTTATATGCTGAATTTTACATACTTTTAGGGTTATCATACTTCCGATATGAGGGAACGGCGTAACGTGTTCTGAGGAAACGGCAGTCCGATCAGATTTTTTCCACCAGTAAAACACAGAAATTGTCATGAAGTTTTACTTCCTCTTCATGGGCGGAGGTAAATATTCTATTATATACAGGGTGGCTAAAAAAAAAAAAAACAAGCTATTGACTTCAACGTGCTGTAAATCAGGCTGCAGTGCCTTGATTTGAGTAAGCTTTTAGGTACACATGAAACAACTCTTTTGCAGAATATATAAAATTATATGATATTATATCACAATTTTTTTGCTTTATATGGATGAAAATGGCCATTCCCATTTGGAAAACTGTTGCAACAGTACCTGGCTGCCATTTGAGTTGGAGCAGAGACAGCTGTTGTTATTAAGAAAACACTTTATCTTCTGTATCAATGTTTTAAGATGCGTTTCTTCCTTCTCCCAGATATTTTTTCTGAAGCAAAGGAATACCGAGTTACTCGCATGAAGACTTGGCGGTGATCAAGCAAGACCTTGCTAGTTTGTTGTCATCATTTCAAATAAATTACATATTTCTACTGTAGTTCATCCACTTATGAAGGTGTTAGGGTCCAATTGAAGCTCATCTCTTGGGACGGAAGATGCTTCATGAAAAATATGAAATTCTAACGACAATCATGGATGTCGGCATTGAAGCTGATGGATGGAGCATTACATTTATTGTGCTTCAGTTTTCTATCATGCAGGAAATGCCTTTTTCCCATACAGTACTTGGTGAAGAAATACACTATCTGAAAGATACTCATTCCGATTCCAATTTTTGGTGCTGTGGAGCTTCAAATGTTTGTGTCAGAAGCGATAATTTCACGCGATTCATTTCATCACCATGGCTTATCCCATGTACTGCTGGAAAAAGGACATACAACAGTTGGAATGGCCAATTCCCGCTCAAACAGATGCTAAGCTTTTACCTTTGACGGCCGTACTTTCTGGACGATGATGCTTGCAGTCAATAATTCTGTTTCATCATAGTGGATTTTGCATTAAAAAAACGGTCTAAATGTCAAAATATGGTTCAAAAGCACCGGCGAAGACACTCTTCGTAAAGAAGCACAACTCCATATGATGGTGTGAGATAACCCTTCTTGTCAAGGACGATAGTCCATTTCATATTCATATTTCAAGTCCACATTTCCAATCTGGGGAACCACTGGGTGCAGTGTGCCTCAGTTCGAAGGGGGTTGGGGGGAAGACTTGAGTTCCATACCCTCCGTTACTAATTTCGAAATAGTTTGGAGGGAATTGGCAGGTTTAGAGGAAACCGGAAGGGGAATCAGTACCACAAACTGTCTTATTATCCGAATGTTTGAAAAACATTCAACAAGAAAAACAATTTCGAAATTAGGAACGGAGGGTTGTCCTCGAAAAATTCAGAAACTCTTTTCCCATGATTTGACCGATATGTGTCTGGCAGACGAGACTTTTTGAAGAACTTTGAATGAATAAAGACTTGACCACGACACCTGCAGTGGAAGAATGTTCTTCTCTGGAAAGAAATGCCTGGAAATCTTAATGAGCGCCGATCGCCCAGAAGTTGAGAATATTGTTCTATATGTACTTTCTCTGCGGCATTTGAACGCTGAACGTGGGCAAGCAATCTCACTCGCCGAGGGACATTTTGGAGATATTGTAGAAATGGATTTCAGAGTAAAAGTGGGCTAGCAAAAATGTATTTTTCCCATACATTTTTTCATGCGGAATTTTGGAATGTGAGAGCATGTCCCAAGCGATCCAAAGCCGCCCTAGAAACTGCAAGCACTAGAGAAATGTCTTATCTGAAATTCGATTCCTCCACTTGCAATCGATTTTACATTTCAAGATGATTAAGGAAACCCCAATAATAATTAGTCACAGACTCACGAGGAGTCGCGAAGACGGTCTTTCCTGGAGGTCAAAGCATACGGAACGACAGCTGACTAGACGTTAAGAGCGTCGTTATGCTTCTTATTTCTTTGAAGTTTTAGGGAAATCTGGCAACCCTAAGTACTGTCTACGACGGAGCCGAAATGGAACCGACAGCTCATAGGGTCTGTTGAAACGAAGAGTAATGCCATCCTAGGATTAACCTCATTACTCGGTAAAGGGCTTAAGCCCCGAGTAGTGCCACTCTTTATTTAGCGAATAGGCCCGTGTATCCGTTACCCCACGACGGCACAGAAGGAATCTCTTTCAGGTTGCCCTCGTCCTACTTTCATACTGATGACTGTACGTTCTGAAAACGCGTCAGTTTCGCAATTTGACATTGGGGAGATAGCACGAGAAGCAGGATGTAATAGGGAAATCCCGTGTCGGGCTCCCCAGCACGTGCCTTTTCTCCCATGGATATTTCAGGTTTAGGGGAAAATAAATCGTACGTGTAAACGGTGTACGTGAAGGTCATCCGATGCTCACCCTTCATAACAGGCACATACATGCCGACTATATGTCCCTTATATAATAAGCAGCTGTGAATTTATCAGCGAATTAACTATATCTTGATGCAGATACACAGGAAGGAGCGAGAGGGAAGAAATATAGTTTTGCGTTTGTTCAACGATGTGTGAACGGATGTGCGCATGCGTGGGTCGGTCATTTTCACCAATGTAGATTGTTGGAATTATCTCCTGTCGAGTATTTGATTTTTTATTTATTTACACCATGCATTCTCTGAGATCGATGTTTATCGGTCTACATTTTTCCTTTTCACCTTATTTCACCGTTTACCAGAATGAATTGATGAGAACATGAGGAATTTTTCGAAGATAGCATCATGCAAAGAAAGCCTCCCAGGTCAGTAATTAGTAAATAATTACTAATTACAAATTAAGTTATAGTGGCCAGCTTGATCACATCTGCTTCGGGATGACGTGCAGGGAATGAAGGTCCATCCATGGCCGAACTTTCTCCATCCCGATATAAATGCAATATATTGCACCGATCAACTAAAGTCCCGGACAGAATGTTTCTCACAAGATTCTCCTTGAATTTCTCTTCTATGATGTGCAGAGATGCGACATCATAGCCTCGCTTGATACGTGACGAAAGAACCTGAGTACCTCTGACGCACCCCTGCATTGAAAGAAAAAAAAGCAATAGCAACTGACTACGAAGATCGCCTAAAGCCAACTTTCGTACCCAAAGCACTCCTACTCAACAGAACTCAGCCCAGTGCAGTACCCTTTCACGATGACGGAACCGCTGCAACGTGGGGAGTAACCAGAGACATCTATTGGACAGTATAGGAGCCTATAAAACTTTTCTCCACGTGGAGAGGACTCTACCGTCTTCTTACATGCTTTTTGATCAGATCAGGAAGAAAGATGCGTGGAACTCTACCATTCGTTCTCTTGTCAAGCTGGCGGTGTCCACGTCTCTCTTCTTTTAGAATGGAAAGGGTCTTCTTAGCATGAAAGGCAGAAATTCACTTGAAAATCGGACTGACGTCAGTCGTAAGGATGCGACCGGTGAGATACATCTTCGCAGCTAAGGGTGGATTTTTGAACAGAGCACTATCCGATAATGCAGCTTTATTTCAGAGAAAATGCATTATAACTCCGGTAAATAAAGCTGCATTATCGGATAATGCTCTGTTCAAAAATCCACCCTAAAATTGTAGAAATTTCATTGCTGCTGGGAGAAGCGAGACTCAATGTTTTCGAGCTCACCAGTGGACTTCTTTCGTCAGGCATCACTCCTGAAGTAAGAAGTGCGCCAGTAACGCGGGATGAGATTGTCAAAAAAGATCCCACAGGTGATCTTTTTATCGCACTCGAACCTGCTCTGAAAAGACAGATACAGCCTCCAAAATCGGGGACTTCTGCGTTTACCCTCACTTCATGGTGTGGAGGTCTCTTCTTGAACCAGCCTTC